TTCAGCAGGCAAGGATTACGGTTCTCGGTCATTCTCAGTCAAAGGAGAGGATGGATTATGCTTCTGACAAAGCAACCTAAACAAAAGGAAAAGAAAACATTTCATTAAACTCAGATTCTTAATCCTGTAACAGTGATACTACTTATCTCCATGCAGCTGGCATATCTGTCCTTGCCTTTTCAAAGGACCTTGAAAAGGCGCACTTGGAAAGGAGATCAAAGTGAGTCTGAAGGTGTTTTGTACTTAGCATAATCAGTTAAACAAAACCCCCAAAACTAAAACCAGAAACTAAAAACAACCCCCCATATTATACTACAAAATATCAGTATGATCAGAAGGTGCCAATATTCACAATATAATATATTCATATTTAATCTGTCAAGCAAAGTGCAGGTCTCCAGCACAGTACTGAATAAGGGCTGTTTCAATAGCTTTGCCATTGTTTTAATTGAATCCTGATTAACAACTATTAGAATCATGTATTATGTTTTATTAAGTTTTCAATCTGTTGTGATAAAAAATGAAACTACCCCATGCCATCTATTCAATGCTTCATACAAAACAGTGCAAGTAACATAGAGAAATTACATTTCAGCACTTACTGAACTGCAATAATCCACTTCTGTAGGAGAGAAATCAAACTCAGAGGATCTACAAAGCACCTATATGCATTTTGTGGCACCCATCTGTAGTGTCCACAATGAAACACCCGTGTCTCTTTGAATGGGAATGAAATCCACATCTCCAGAGAGAAGAGAAACCAGCCTGTACTATGTAAAAAAGAAGGTTTCCCATGTTTCCTTATCAGAGTCAATATTTTGTTATTACGCAGACTCACCTTCTCAGAGCAGAATTCTGTATTGCTTTGCCTCAGTTTGCTTGGTCTGCCTTTAATAACTGCATAGCAGAACATGGTAATCACCATCACAAAAAGAAAGTAACTGGTGTGCATGAGATGCAGGTTTATTAGAGAGCGATCATCCTGCACAGAGAAGTAAAACCATTTACTGACAATCCATCAACAGCTGGCATTTTATATCAAAGCAGTAATTATGAGATCAACATAGAAATTACTTCATGAATCAACTTTCTCCCCTTTATGCAGCTGGCAGAGTAATGGAAGCGACTCCTAATTGTGGCACAAAGAGCCAAAACGTTCCTTATGTTTGACATCTATAGTTGAGATCTCTTCCCATATACTGGAAGTGTCTTTTGCCAAATGATTTGAAAACATACCTGTTAGCTAACAAAAGCTGAGGCACATGGAGGTTACGGGAAGACCATCGCACCCACCAAGGGTACAGCAAACCCAACTCTGTCCCATCCCTCACACTACAGGATAAACCAGCCCCGAGTGTGACTGTTTTAGGACATGAACAGAACCATCTGCAAATAAACCAGCGCTGACCATTTATACAAGATAACATATAAAACCACTTACATCTGGAACTATAACAGTTAGTTTGGGGTTTAAAGCGTGATACACTTTCCCAATTGCTCCTTTGTAACACCAGAAAGGGTTATAATCTTGTGCATATTTTGTATTAGAGTCTCTTGCTGTGGTGAAGATCTTGTACCAGAGCGTGGCATTGCTGTATGTTTCAGGAACACAATGTGGTGGCTGACTGCATTAAAACAGAAATAGTTAGCACTTTAATTGCCATTCTCCATGTGCAGCAAGAACAACATTTAGAACTGAGTCAAGCCCAGTCTTCTCATCAGCAGCACAAAACATGGGTTTAGTATGGACTTTTCAAAACAAGAGCAAAATCCAAAGCTTAACCAAAAGGGTGTATAAAAAACATGATTCCTGTACTAAAACCAGAATTTAACTGCATGCTGTTCCAGGAAGTCAACATCCCACAGCTTAAGTAGAACAACACTGGGATTCGTAAGGTTTCACACACTCATCTGGTGGTTTTCCAGGTTGTATTGAATAGTGGCAGGGAATCTAGAGAAGACAAAGGGAAACTATTCTGATGAAAGGTCTGTACCTGCTGGGGTATGTTGCTTTGCTACCATTTGGCTTAAGCTGGTCTCTCAGCAGGGAAGAGGAGAAAAACCTTAGTGTCAAGCCTTAGCTCTCACACAAGTTAGTGAAACTTAACTATAGGGCATCTTCCTTCAACAGTCACAGATTACTTAGTTCCCATTGACATTTAAATCACTCTTTGAAAGGCAGGTAGGGACTATAATTCAAAATATCCACAGAGAAATCCACTGTTGCTAAAAGAGAGCAAAAGCCTCAAGATTTTCACTGTGGGAGGAAGGATGGCACGTACATCATTTCCAGTCAATGCTAAATTCATGAGGAAGTAACAACCTCAGAGAACCAGCTGAGGAATTCATCACCCAGTAATGAGTCTTTTTTACACTGTGACAGGAAACACATTGCTGGCTGCTGTCACAGTCATGCAGGTTGTGAACACAACCTGCTCGCAGTGGCCGTGAAGAACGCAGTCATCGGAATTCCAGGCAGCTGGTAGGGTGAACGTAATATTTATCTCCTCGTGGGATTCTCTGCCTTTGAGAAAGAGAGAGGAAAGCTGGTTTTCATCCACAAAAGTATCTGAGCAACCATCACTAGGATAACAACAACACGCAAATGACTAAAGCAGCAACCATCACCCTGAATCTGCACCTCTGAAGTCATCCAGGATCTTCACTATCAACAAAGAGAGCAAAAAGAAAGTTAAAAACCAAACCAAGCCACAAAACTCCCAGCTGTTGGTCCTTCTAATCTCTCCTGCCCCAGAAGAAGTGGGGTCATTAAGCAACTTGCAGCATGAAACCCTCCCTATTTCTAAGTGAATCCATGCATGGTTGGAGAACTGTATTAGAAAGTAAATCACAGATTTGTGGCCTTTCTCCTCCCAAAGACTTTGTTCCACATTGGCTTTTGCTGATGCTTACTTTTCGAATTGTAGATATTTCTGTAGACAGAAAGGTGCAGATAAATAATGTACATTAACTCTGTGTGGATATATCCATGCTGAAAATAAATCCAGGCTACCGGAAATGGAACTTGCATTTGATAACGCTCAAAGCAGTAGCAAAATATCAACAACATAAACCACAGTAACACAGATTTACAGCTATGGTAAATGTCTCTTCACAGGTCTCTGAGGTTCAAGACACCCTCAGGCATTATCATAAAATGCAACCTTGGTAAAAGCTGAAACTCAGTGAGGTTCTACCATTGATTTCTACTGATTTCCTACAATCTCCTGTCAAAACTTACACAGCAGACCAGTCTCTTCACACCACAGACAGAGTAATCATCTTATTTGTTGCTGTTTGTAATATTAAAGCTTATTGATGTATGACTTTTAAACTCTATTTTTTTTGGACAACGTGCTACTTGATCTTTAGTGTACGTACATTAATGTCTTTAAATGTGAATTAAGGACTTGAAGATGTATCAAGATACAACTGTAGAAGCTTTTGCTGCTTGGAGATTTGTTGGCTTAAAAATTACCTTCCTTTGTCAGTAAGTTAACCATTTTAAGCTGCAAAGCCTACTCTCAGCATACCTGCAGGTTCTTTTCCATTCTGAATGCAGGGAAAAGTGTTTCTAGCAAACAAGTGAAGGATTCTATATATCTGGAAACACATGTTCTAAGCAAAAGACTTATCTCACCAACAATAAGCTGGTGAATTTTTACATGATTATACAGTTACCATGCCAGTTCATAAAGGTCAAGTCTCACATACCTGAGAGTCCAATCTGGTGTCCAAAAATGGTGGAACTTAGATGTGTGACGTTGCGTGAATACCCGCCGAATGGTCTGAGTGGGTCCAGTGTCAACGTGATGGTAACAGAGATGTTTATTGGACCCGAGTCCTCAAGAGTCTGTGGAGATTGTGTAGAAGATCTTGCCTGTCCACTAGTCACGGTACTCTCTGGAGTTGTGGTATCATTGATGAGATGCTTTAAGGTTTCATTCTCAGATATACAGAAGTCCAAATCATTAAACCGCAGGAGGAACGTATTCCAGTCCTTAAAACAAACATGAAGATTTCAACCAGATCAGCAAGTTAACTGTTGGCTTCCACTTCTCTAGAGCAGCGCAGACCTTGATACTACCATCCCATCTGCAGTTCCAAGCCATTTAACAGAATTACACGGGTCACAAAGCAGCACAAACATCACCATCACTATCTCAACAACAGGGCAAGTTGTTTACAGAAGTGAGACGTGTTCACTCCCAGCCATGCCTCACTGCTGCTCAGTGCAGCAGCAGAACATCCTTTAAACTACAAAAGGAAGCAACTAACTCGGTCTGTTCTCACCACACCCAGGGCATGAGCAGTTTCTACCAAGGTTTCCCTCATTAGGGAATAGCACTACTAGGTAATACTTGATGGCCCATCTCTGGCAGTGTTAAAGGCCAGGCTGGACGGGGCTTGGAGCAACCTGCTCTAGTGGAAAGTGTCCCTGCCTGTGGCAGGGGGCTGGAACTGGATGAGCTTTAAGGTCCCTCCCAACACAAACCATTCCATGATAAGAAAGTTTCACAAACAAGCTAGCTGACACAACAGAGTAAGAAAAAGAAATGCTTCTAGCTGTAGAAGGGAAGATTCATGTCAGATGATTCTGCTTTGTCCTTGAAACGAACCAAGACTATTCAAACATACATACCAATAATCTCTTTCCTTACAGAATGAGAGGCAAGTATAAATGAAGGCAATCTCCCATCAAACTCTGCACACTCCCATGAGAGGGTTATTGTGGGGTGAAAATCCCACCTCGTTCACTTTGGGCATGTTCTTCAAATTAGTATTCCCACTATTTAGCTCAGGAAATCTTTTTGTACCTACCTCAGTCATTTCTGGGGACTTGATCTCCTTGATTTTGAAGAAATAGCCCAGTGTCAGAAACGCTATTGCCATAGCACTTACACTGATCATAAAGACCACAAGCGGAGGTCGACTGCTGATGTAAACCTTCAGGTTCTCCAACAAGTTTATGTAGAACATTATTCTGATTGTTCACCTGAAAGCAAAGAATATTACAACAGTGACTGGCCTGTGTGTGGGACAGGGTAGGGATTGCTAGGCCATGTAAGAGAAAAGTTTGGCAACAAAACATGGGATCATATACTAAAATGAGATTCAATTTCATGACTCTATATTGTTCATTGAACACAGACTTGGTGTGCCTTAAAGAAAGCACAAATCAAAACATGCTCCACGTCACCTTCTCACCACCTGAAACTGCCCCTCAGACTAGATTTGAAGAGGACAACTTCTAGCACAGCCAAATATTAAGCAATAAACCCAGTTCTTTTTTTTCCCCACACACATAAGCAGGATATAAACTGCTACATTTTAATTCCAGTAATATCTGAATTCATCAAAATAGAGTGTGGATGGAGTTGTAATGCAGCCCAGAGATCAAACTTTCTATGTCCTTGCACACACTATCAAAACTGAGGCTGAAGCCTCAGAGCTCCTCTTCATCCTGTCCCTAGCCCCAAATGTCTCTACCTTCAAACTAGGAGCAAAGCAGCAGCTTACATCACTTTAGGCTTCTGCATCAAGAATCCTGTGGTCAGAAACACCTAAAAACTGCATTGGGGTGGAGGCTGGAAGACTCCTTTATTTGATTCTTGCAGCATTTAGTGCATAAAATGTTGTATTTTGCCTGGTTCCCCCTCGGAATTTTCATTTGCAGAGCAGAAAGACCCAAGCTCAGTTTGCTGCATCAGCTTCCCCACCACCACTCACAAGAAGTCCAGTGCTAAAGGGCAGCCTTGAGGGCATCTACTTCAGGAGCTCTGCAAGGAAGGAACTTCAAGCAAACCTCTTCTCTGTCTTACCTAAAAATCCTGGTTGAAAAGGCTTTCAAACCCAAACTAAACTAGAAAGGCAGTAACTGTTCTGAGCAATGTGTTGCTTAAACCTAAATTCATAGGAAAAGGCAAACTTCAGGACTAGCTTCTGAAGAGCTCAGCACTTCAATGGTTAATGTTTGAGCATTCATACAGATCTGATAACATTTAATTAAGTCAAGAACACTGCTCCCTGCAGGTCTGGGTGATTCTCACTGACTCTTATTAGAAGCACATGTCACAATCCAGATGTAGCCTGGCTGAGGAGGGGTAAGAGGATGAGGACAGGTTTTGAGAAAGAGGGCAAGGGAGAGAGCGATCTTTGATCTATTGATTTAAAAGAAAGCAAGAGAAGGGAAAAGGACAAGCTTTCAGACATAGTGTTTTTCAGATCCTACAATGATCACAACTTTCTTGTGTGTTCCCAAGATTTTATTGGCAGAAATGCTTCCGTTGTTCCTAACAGAAGGAATATCGTCAAAACCTGCAAAACTGCCCCAGAGAGGAGAAAATTCAACTCCCTGAGATGAGAGCGAAGGTCCTGTGCCCATAACCCAGCACTGAGTTGTGCTTGCTGCCTTTATCCTCCCCTCCCCACACACCTACTTGCTCTCCTTGGTGAAATGTGCTGAACCAGTGCCCTCTCCAGAGCACAAGATCACCTCCTGGGTTTACTGTACTGCACCAGCAACTGATTTTCATCTGCTCTGCAAAGACCAGGCACACCAGCAGCTTTTCCTCAGCAAGAATAGGTCCCACACTCCTCTCTTTACACAAATCCAGTGTGTCTGTGTCATGGCTTAAGCCCGGCCAGGATCTCAGAACCACGCAGCCGCTCGCTCACTCCCCTCCTTCTTCCTCCCTGCTCCCGGAGGGATGGGGAGGAGAATCAAAAGAACGCAAACCCCACGGGCTGAGATAAGAGCAGCCCAGTAACTAAGGCATAATACAAACCACTACTGCTACCACCAGTAATAATAAAGGGGAGAAGATACAATTGCTCACCACCCGCTGACCGATACCCAGCCCGACCTGAGCAGCGATCTGGCCCTTCAGGGTGACTCCCCCCAGTTTCTATACTGGGCATGACGTGCTGTGGTATGGAATAGCCCTTTGGCCAGTTTGGGCCAGGTGTCCTGTCTCTGCTTCCTCCCGGCTTCTCCTCCTCCCTCTTCCTCCCGGTTTCGCCTCCTCCCTGACAAAGCATGAGACTGAGAAAGTCCTTGGTCAGAGTAAACATTACTGAGCAACAACTAAAAACATCGGTGTTATCAGCGTTGTTCCCAGGCTAAAACTCAAAAACACAGCCCTGCACCAGCTCCTGAGAAGGAGAAAAATGACTGCTGGAGCTGAACCCAGGACAGTCTGAGAGTGGAATGTACAGGGCAGAGAAAGGGTAGAGGAGGAAAGAAAAGGTGATATAAATATGCACCTTACCAGAACTTCTATCTTCGTCCCAGACCAGCTGCGCTATGGCCAAACAGGCCAGTGAAGGTCAGAAGAAGGCAGGACAGGGAAAGGGAGAGCTGGTGCTGGTAAGGATCATGCCGAGTACAACCCGTGCTCCTGCTTCCTATCTTGTCACTGGCAGCTAATTCCTTAAATAAGCCCTAGTTAAAAATCCCAAACACTCCATCTAGAAACATTGGAGACACATGTTGAGATGGAAAAGGATCAAAAGACAAACCAAAAGCAGAGTTGTGTTCAATGTTCCCTTCTGGATTTCCTTTGGAAAATAACAACACAGATGCAGGCTTTATTACGGTATTTAATCAAAGCTGAATGTCACCCACAGCATATACAGCACTGTGATTCCTTTTTAAAGGGGCTTCCAACAGCTCCATTAGCATGCTTGTTTACCACAGGGGCTAAAATCAGCTGTAAAACTGGATGTGCTGAAAAGCATACCTATAAAAATATTTGGGTTAATATCTTTATGTAAGAGATCACCAGCTTTTAAGTGCTGCTTGCTTAATATGCTCCCATAACTCCATGGCTTTGAAAGCAATTAGGAAATGCTATAAGCTGCAATTTCCAAAGTGCAATATGCCTTTTGAGCATTTGTGAGAGAAAAGGGAACAACTGTGGATTTCAGTAGTAGAGCTGATGTGAAAATAGCAGGAAGACATGGCTGGTGTAAACCAGAACTAAGAGGAATGTTTCCACCCTGCTGCCTGCAGAACTACTGATTTTTTTTACAGAATAAAGTGTTTAACACTAATTATCAAAGAACTTGTGAATCAGATCAGTGCATGTAAATCAAAACGTGTACTCCCTCTGGATTTAAGGGTTTGGTTAACAGGCCTCACACTTTGACTCCTCCTTTCTATTAGGAGCTGTTAGCACCCCCCTCTACTGTGCTCTGGTGACACCCCCCCTGCAGTCCTGATCCAGCTCTGGGGCAACAGCACAAGAGGGACATGGAGCTGTTGGAGCGAGGCCGGAGGAAGCCCCGGAGCTTCTGTGACGGCTGGAGCAGCTCTGCTCTGGAGCCAGGCTGAGAGAGCTGGGCTGGGGCAGCTGGAGAAGAGAAGGCTCCTGAAGGGGACACCTTAGAGCAGCTCCAGTGCCTAAAGGGGCTCCAGGAAACCTGGAGAGGGGCTTTGGACAAGGGATGGAGGGACAGGACAAGGGGAATGGCTTTAACTTGCCAGAGGGGAGGCTGAGATGAGCTCTGAGGCAGAAGCTCTTCCCTGTGAGGGTGCTGAGGCGCTGGCACAGGGTGCCCAGAGAAGCTGTGGCTGCCCCAGCCCTGGCAGTGTTCAAGGCCAGGTTGGACACAGGGGCTTGGAGCAACCTGCTCTAGTGGAAGGTGTCCCTGCCCTTGGGCAGTGGTTGGAACTGGAGGAGCTTTAAGGTCCCTTCAACCCAAACCATTCTATGATAATTCTAGGAAATGCTACTCTACCAGCTCTAGCTGTAACTAACAACTTCCTCTGCAAAACGAATACCTAACGAATATAATTTAAACTTTCATTTCTTTTTCACACAGTTTAAAAAAACAGAAAGGAGCTGAATGCTATTATCTATTGGCAGGTCAGGAAAGCAAGATCAGATTTCACTTTTCAGCTAAATAAATAATGTAGGAAGCAGCTCTAATAACCGCTGCCGGCCTCTCTGCACTCCGGCTCAGCCTTTTCATCCTGGTGCAATAAAAATCTCCACAGTCAGCCTAACAAGCAGCTCAAGCACAACAGGAAGAATGAAAACTGCCAGCCTGGAACATCAGCTGCCAGCTCCAAAGTAATTGCTCGGTACTGAGGTGTGTTCATCAAGACCAAATGCCACGTTCGGGTAGAGTTAGGGCTGATGGTACTCACCGGGAAACTCTCGACAAGCACCGGGGAGATACCGTGCTCTTAAATCAGGCCCTACAAACCCTGGAAATTGTGTTATACAGTTAAAAAGATACAAATGGTGAAGGATGGAAAGAAACAACAGTTCATATGTCAGAGTTCCAGGCAAACGCAGAATTGGGGAGCCTAAAAAGCGAGGAAATAGTCACTTATTCTGCACTTTAGGGAGTCTTCCTGTGGCAGAACCCAACACCATACACAGTGACCTCAAAGTAGTAACAGCTTAAATCCTTCCTCATTTCTATATGAAAGAGCATAGAAAAGGTAACTTCTGACACAGAACTATGAGGTTTTGAAGAATAAATTACAAATAAGGAAAATCATGAAGTCTATTGCAAAGACCAAAAAATCTACGCAGTGAATCACAGCAGAAGTATTAAATTCCCATTTCAGGGCTTAATAGCAAAGGAACTGAATTCCTAACACCAATTTAAAAGATGTGTGCTGTCCTAAAGCTGGTATTAAAAGTAAAACTTGCAGTTGCCAAAAGGACAAAAAACCCCAAATCATGGAGTTTAAAGAGGTCAAAGTAAACGTGTGACAATCTTTCCATGCATCTTGCCATGATGTCAGCTACCATCTTTCCACTAGGAAGTTTAAACCAATGTAATTTCCTTACAAATATTCCCCCTTCTTGTCGTGGATGTAAGACCTGGAGGGGTTTAAATAATAATACCACTGAAATATCTTAAGGAAGAAGACTGCAGGTGGCAGGACAGGAAGCCAGCACCAACCCATCCCAACAGCACTCCATCAAGACCTCGCATGTTTTCTAAGCCTGACCATCTTATTGCACGTAA